CAAAGTAATAGGGCAAGGAAGAGAGGGAAGGAAAGAGGGGGCAGCAAAGAAAACATTCAGAGATTGATTTATTATGCCATTTGCTAGCCTGATTTTTACACATCTCATCGCCGCTAACAGTATCATTGGGGATGGAAAGATATTCTGGGCGATGCTTTGACCACATATAGCCGTTAGTGAAGTGTGACGTTGAAAGGAAATATTTGGCTTTAAACTAGAGAGAGTGATGCAGATAAGGAAAAAATATATTTATTAAGAGTTTATCTTTCAATAAAGATTCATATTAAGAGTCTAATTAGTTATTAAGTCTAATTAGAATTGAAAGTTTTCCAGAAATTCCGAATTCTATTATTCTCTTCTTCTCACCCTTGCCCCACGGAAGGGGGGAGAGAGAGAGAGAGAGAGAGAGAGAGATGGACATACAACGTTGTTAAGGACGATAAAGATGAAAGCCATGTAGGAATCACAGAGTTATCGAAGCCATTATTACTCAAGTCCCTGCAGAATATGGTCATATTATTAGAATGAAAATCAATGACAACAGTATAGGATTATATGAATAACAGTTTCAACTGGAGACATAAAAGTGCATGCATTGCAGACACATAGGAAAGGGATAAAAAGACTAAGAGAAAAGGGGTAGTTTAGTTATTCTGTAAAAGGCATGTGCTGCTTACAAGGTTTGGAGACTACTCATGCCAGTAAGGTTGGGTAAAGTACCGCTCAGTTCATTGTTAGACAAATACCTGAAAAGAAGTTTACAAAACATTGTCTATTAGGGAAGATAAATTAATAAATGCAAAGACTGCTTATCTTCCATCTTCTGCATGCTTACAAATCAGTAAGATTTGTGAGATTGTTGAGGTTTGATGGAACATTCCCACTTAAGGAATTGTTATGAAGACGTCTGCAGCCAAAATAGTAACTTGTTCAGTCAATCCTGCCATGAAATCCAATTCCAACAATAATCTAATTATGGATCTGCTTAAGCATGTGGTCTAGATACTCACACCACTAGCAAAGCTTGCACAAGTCCAAGGGTTGAAGGGATAGGGCCAGTGAGTTCATTACCGTCCAATAACCTGGCAGAAAGAAAAAGGAAAAATGAAAGCTTTCAAACATACAATAATCCAGCCTGTGATTTGATGAAAACTGAAAAGGAAGGAAAAAGAGGAATAGGGCAGATTTGCAACTCCACTAAACAAAAGAAGAACAAAAAAATAAGAAATACGAACAAAGTGCTAATGCTAGCCACTTCTGGCACAGAAGCACTGTTATTCAGAAGGCAATATTTGTTTATTGCAGATATTTTCCAGGTTTATGCCCTCACTTAGATTCTTTCTGGCAACTTATGTACTCCAAATATAATTACAGAAAACAAAAGTGAAACTTACAGATGTATCAGAGCCATGTTGGAGCTGAAAATTTTCTCTGGGATTTCACCTGAAAGTTTATTCTGTCCCAAATGACTGTATAAAGGAGAAAACTTTAGATGATATTACTACAAAGGAAACAGAACATAATAAAGCAAGTTAAACTTAGGCAAACAAGTAACATACAAGTGTAGGGTTTTGACCAACTTGTCAAGGCCTGGTGTAGTTCCATCTGACACTGGAAGTGATCCCTCTAGCTGGTTGTCTGACAGATCCAGCCAATTTAGATTGGTTAGATTACCAACAGATGGTGGAATTTGTCCTGTGAGGTTATTGGAATTTAGAGATCTGCAGGCAATGATGGGTTTCAGAGATGTTGGCTCCTAGCATGGAACTGCTCCAATTAAAAGATGCAAAAGTATTGAAGTATCATTATAATTCACAGGAATCACAGCAGAGCTGAACGGTGATTCCTTAGTGAACCAGTTACATATGTCCATCAAGTTTCAATAAAAAAAAAAAAAATGGAAGATCACCACAACAGCAATTTAAAATTGTAAGTTTAACTGTTACATCAGAGTAAAAGTCCTCACAAATAGACCAGCTGTTGTAGAGATCCTATTGTGCCGGGAATTCGACCAGTGAAACCACAGTCATTAAGGAATCTGTCGCAGGAGTTGAAAAGCAGGTTTGAAGAGAATGGTAAACAACAAATCTCCATAAAAAGAAGACCCCAAAAAAAGTGTTAATTAGAGTGGATGATTTACAAATTTGTTAGCTTCTTTAAATTCCCAATTGATGCTGGAAGAGGTCCTGTCATACCCTGGTTCTGAGATAGATCCCTGCATAAAGAAGCTTGATCAGAGATATATCAATACCTATATTATAACATCCTCCACCAAGCAATGGAAAAGGTAGGGAGGTTCTTTGTATTCTATTATAATCACCACTAAACTTGTTTTGTAGATAATGCCTAAAGACAATATGTTTCACTTAAGCCTTAAATATAAGTGGATCTTTAGATATCTGAGCAACGCAATTGCATTAATGATTATTATCTTAAATGGAGAGGAAACAAGTTAGTTTTGAAACAACTCCCATGTGAACTTCAGATAGAGGACCTACAAAATCTGTAATTCAGTTAAGGATGAAATGTCATCAGACAGCTGGCCTTCCAAGCCGATGCTTCCCAATTTTCTGCAACAGATGGAGGAGGTCAATCCTCAAAAACTGGGAGAGCAAGAATAGGAATTCATCCGAGAGAACCAAAATGTGGAAATTAACCAGGAACTTACATCGAGCTGACTCGTGAATTCGTGCACCGAATTCCTACCCAGTCATCACCACAAGGATCTGAGCCCACCCAGTTGGGGGGTAAATTCCTCCAGCTATTCTTGAGAGAATTTAGAGCAGCAACTGCAGCAGAATCAAAAAAGTAGTTTAACTTTATAAGGCGGTATGAATTTTGGAGTTTGATTTTCCAATGATTCGAAATCAACTGAGTCCTAATAGGCGTTTATATAAGATTTAAACCTTCAATTTGAGAGAAATTTAATTGCCTTCTGATGGCATAACTCTTCAGAGGTTTTGCCGAACAATTTAAAGGCATAAGCAATTGAGCATTGAAGAATCAAGACTCGACCAACTTTTTCGTATTTACCAGAAAGAACATGGGAATTTAGAAGCAAACTTTGTAGATCACCTCCCATTTCTAGTTGCAGCAATCCAGACAATAACCAGTTCAATAAATTGCAAGGGTAATAAAGAGCAATCTAAAAACGAAGATCATGTTTATAATCATTTAAGAAGCTTCTGATATTCAGTATTGACTCCTTGTTTCCTCCAAATGAAAATGATAAAGAACAACGTCTGCAGAAATCTCCAATTACCCAAATCAACAGAAGTTTTATTAAACATTGTATGAGTGTATGTAAGAAATAATAAGCAGCAAACTTACCGTCACCACTATCAGTAACTGCTGCTATGACGTAAACTTGGATAAGAACAACCAGACAAAGCAACTGAATTCTTGGTTCCATTTTTTGAACAAACAAAAAACTTCAAACTTCAGAACTTGACAATTCTCTCTCTTTCATGTTTCTAGCGTTGCTTCTACAATCTCTGGAGACATGAAAAGAAAGTTGGAAATTGGTTTTAATCAAATTCAGAACCTAATCTATCTCTGATATATCAGAAAACATGACTAAAAGAGGGAGCATATATTGTAATTTGTAATGATAAGCTACAAAGCAGAGGGGTAGCTTTATATAAACAAAGTGATGAATAGCATAATTCTAAATGAAAGAGAGGAGAATTGACAATAAACTACTTGTAAACAAAGATTAATTGTGTTGATTAATAGCTGAAGCCCACCACCAAGTTGGGTGTTTGTTTTACATTAAATTCAAAATAGACAATTTCTTGCTAAAAGAAATGAGCTAGAAAAATATCAAATAGGTTTTGATTGGGTACCATGTTTCATCAGGTTTGTGGCATCATGGTCCCATGCAGTTCAGTTCAGTTCTCTATGTATATATACGTATACATAGATATATAAATAAGTGTTTATTAATCAAATATTTAAAAAATTAAGAGAAATAATTCAAAATTATAGCATTTAATAAAACATTATAAAAAATATATTAACATTATTAAAATCTTGATTGTTATCTCTTTACTATGAAAAGTTGAAATTTGTCACTACTTTTTAAATGAAAGAGGCAATTATCTTTAAAAAAAAAATAATCTCAACTATTTATAATGAAAAGATAATTTATCAAAATTTAGTATAAATAGTGTGTATAAGAATTGTAAAGATGAACTTTCTCTATATATATTATTTATCAAACAACATGAAGACAAGACATATATACTAATGACTAATGTGCATTATTAATAGGGTAATGACATACAAAGAACCTATTTTACAACTTACAAATATTATCAAATGAATAAAATGTATATAATAATATGGGTTCAATAGAATAAAATTAGTCCATCATTAAATAAACATTAATGTTGTATGAAAAAATTGTACAATAGGAAAAATCTCTCATTGTCATTTTCCGTATTAATAACAGTACGGGGTACAATAGTCGGGTCAAGCAAGTTGCGACCAAATAAGAGGACTAAAAAAGATGATATTCCGTTCCGCAATTGGTGCTGACACAAGTCACCCAACTGACCCAGTAAACGGTGTTTATTACGAGTCTATGAAAAAGAACCCAGTCAACCCACCAATCAAACAAACTGCATCTACAACCCTCCCATCCTATAACACCACAAACTCAATTATCCATTCTTCAGCAGACACTTGCTGCTCAAAACAATCCAATACGTAATATACATACAAATTGGAAATTCAGAACCAGAAAACGAAGTTTCCACTGCAAAGCAGTCACTGTCCCTTCTCTTCTGCCCTTTTCCCCTCAAACCAAACATACCCTAACCCTTCGTTTGGATTGGGGAAGTTGGAGGGGAAGGGAAGGAGATGAAAAAAGAGATACTTCCTTGTAATGTTCGGATTATTGATTTTAACAGAGAGGGAAGAGATAGAAAGAAATGCACCCCTCCTCTTCTCTGTTGTTAGTCCTTTCAAATTAGAAGGATTTGCATGGATTATATTATTTTTAATTTATTTTTATTTTTA